CTATAATTTCTTTGCTTTCTTTTTATTAATAATTTTACATTTTTAGAATTCAGTTTTTGTTGTTACACCAGTAAGATATTTCCTCAATTTTTTTGCTGGGTAAAGACATTCCACTACAGACCTTTCAAGCTCAATTTTTTATTTTTCTAGTTGTTTTGTGTTTGGAAAGTTTTGTAATATAAAAATTCAACTACACTCTTTCAAGCTCATTTGTTTTTTTTTTCTAATTGTTTTGAGTAATGTTTTTACATTTTAGGATTTTAGTTTTCGCATTTACACCGGTAAGAAATTTGTACAATTTTTTGTATCGAGGAATTTTTTTATGAAATTTCACTCCACTCTTTCAAACCTTGTTTATTTTCTAGGAGTTCTCTAGGAATTTTTTTAGTAAAAAGATTTCTCTGTGGTATTTCATGCTAATTTTTTTATTTTTCTCGTTTGTTTTGAATGATATTCTTGTTTTTTAGGAATTTAGTTTTCGTAATTACTCTAGTTAGAAATTTCTATAATTTTTTTGTGTTGGGGATTGTTTTTCATAAAAAATTTCAATTGCACTTTTTCTAGTAGTTTTGAATAATATTGTAACTTATTTCGAATTTAGTTTCATAGTTACCCCATTGAGAAATTTAAATAATTTTTTGTGTTGGGAAAAATTTTTAGTAAAAAAATTTCATTGCACTCTTTTAGGCTCTACATATTATTTCCTTTCTTTGTAGTAATAATTTTACATTTTTGGAATTCAATTTTTGTAGTTACACTAGTAAGAAATTTCAACAATTTTTTGTATTGGGTGAAGACATTCCACTATACCCTTTCAAGCAAAAAAAATGCAGAAATTTCTTACTCGGTATAACAACAAAAGTTGAATTCCAAAAACGTAAAATTATACTACAAAAAAAGTAAATAAATTATAGAACCTAAAATAGTGTAGTGGAATTTTTTTTACTAAAAATTTTCCCAACAAAAAAAAATTGTATAAATTTCTCAATGGAGTAACTACGAAACTAAATTCAAAAAATGTTATAATATTATTCAAAACTACTAGAAAGACTGCAGTGAAATTTTCTTATCAAAAAAATTCCCAACACAAAAAAATCTAGAAATTTCAAACTTGGAGTAATTACAAAAACTAAATTCCTAAAAGGCAAGAATATTACTCAAAACAAACAGAAAAATAAAAAAATGAGCTTGAAACACCACAGATGAAATTTTTAATATAAAATTTTCCCCAACACTAAAAATTGTATAAATTTTTCAATGGGGTAACTACGAAACTAAATTCGAAAAATGTTACAATATTACTTACTAGAAAGAGTGCAGTGAAATTATTTTATAAAAAAAATCCCCAACACAAAAAAATTATAGAAATTTCTAACTGGAGTAATTACGAAAACTAAATTCCTAAAAAACAAGAATATTACTCAAAACAAACAGAAAAATAAAAAATAAGTTTGATACACCACAATGGATAATTTTTACTAAAAATTTTCCCAGGAAACTCCTAAAAAAAACAAACTTTGAAAAAGTGGAGTGAAATTTCATAAAAAAAAATTCTCAACACAAAAAATTGTACAAATTTCTTACCGAGTGTAATTGCAAAAACTAAAATCCTAATATGTAAAAAAAATTACTCAAAACAAATAAAAAAATAAACAAATGAGCTTAAAAGAGTGTAGTGGAATTTTTTTATTACCAAAATTTCTCGACACAAAACTACTAGAAAAATAAAAAATTCAGACTTGGATGACTCGTAGTTGAATGTCTTTACCAATCACAAAAAATTGCAGAATTTTCTTACTGGTGTAACTACAGAAACTGAATTCCAAAAATGTAAAATTATTACTACAATGAAAGTAAATAAATTATATAGCCTAAAAGAGTGCAATGAAATTTGTTTACTAAACATTTTCCCCAACACAAACAATTGTATAAATTTTTCAATGGGGTAACTATGAAACTAAATTTGAACACTACTAGAAAAATGGTTAATAGTGATCGAAATTTGTGATCGAAATATTTCGTTACTAAGAGTAAGTGAATTAGTGACCGATTTTCCTTTTTATATTTAATGGATCGATTTAGTGACTAAAATTTCAGTCATAAAACAAATAATCTCTAAATTTGTGATTATATTTCATTCATATAAAATATTTTGTAAAAAATTTCTAATAATATATTAAATATAAATCTACTTAATAACTTAAAATAATTAATAACATTTTTAATAACAATATAAAAATTAAAAAAATAATTTACTAACTTATTAAATAATTTAATAATGTAATTATTTGATTTAATTTTTTAATTTTGCATGTGAATAAAAAATTTAAAATTAATTATTAAATTAGTCAACGATTCGATCATCAATCGAGTCACCGAATCTAGCCACTAAATCAATCCTTAATTTAATTATTAATTTAATCTCTTTTATTTATATATATATATACATATATATATATATATATATATTATTTGAATGCTTAATAAAAATATATTTTAATGTATTTATAACAAATTAAAATTAATTTAATTACTGAATTGATATTTTAAATTTATATTAATATTTTGGATAATTTAATAGTTGGATAAATATTTTAAGTTTATATTAGTTATTTTTATATAAAAGTGTAAAGATTAAATAAACTTATTTTAAAATTTCAAAATTTAATTAAACATAATTGAAAGTGATGAAGATCTTATTGAAAAACTAAGATAAAGTCAAAGTCAACTTTGTAGCGGTCAACAGATCACTTAGATAAAAGAGTAGAGAGATTTATGTGTCCGCAGCTATGCTTAGGTATAATCATTTTTATCTTTTCTGCTGCATGAGGTTTCTTCACTTAAAAGATTTTGCAAAATGCCTTTAAAAACGTTTAAGCAGTTAAAAACAAAGTATTTTAACAAAAGCTTTCTTAAACAAGTTTTTAACTGATATAATTTCGAAATAACTGGTTATTTTCATTAAAGAAAGTTTTGAAAACCTTCTGTCAGTATTTTAACTGATAAAGCTTCACTATAACCGATTAAAATCACTTAAAATGTTAAGAGAAGTGTTTTTGCAGTATTTTAATCGATACAGCTTGGTTTTAATCGATTAAATCCACTTAATGTTCAGGATGATCGATCAGAATACAATTATGACCGATCAGAATCAGATATGATCGATCAGAATTGAGTTATGACCGATCAGAGCTTTTTCAATCGATTAAAACACGCTTCAATCGATTAAAACAGCTTAGAAAATTTCTACACAGCGTTTTAATCGATTAAAACTTATTTTTATCAGTTAAAATCACTTGGAAAAACTCACAATAAAGTTTTGCAGTATATTAATCGATTGAAACACGAAACAATCGATTAAAACAAATTAGAAGATTTTTTGTAAGGAGTTTTAATTGATATAAACGTTGTCATATCAGTTAAAACAAATTTGTTAAATAATCAAGAACGCTTTAATGGATTAAAAGAAGTTTTAACAGATTAAAACTAGACTTTTAACAGATTAAAAGATTATTTTAACAGATTGATTAAACCAGCAGTTTTGAAAATCTTCTATAAAAACAGTTTGGCTTGAACATTTTAAACACACATTGAACATCAATCTTTTACACATACTTTAGCAATCAAGCAAGCAAACTTTAGCACTCTTTCAAGAAAGATTCGCGCTAGTTTTTGTGAAGTACTTTGAAATTCTTTCTTGAGGCAAATTGCTTTCTTTTGGAGAAGAAACACTTACTGTAGAATTGCATAAAACTGGTTTGAGCATTCTAGTTTTTTCTTTTCAATTCTTTACATTCTTTTTGTATTGTTTGGTGCCTGGAATTGTGGGCACTGGTTTCTCTGCAGCTGGAATTTGGTTGTAGAGGTTGTCAAGAACTGGAATTTGGTTCTTGGTGAAAGGTTAGGTGCAGAACTGGAATTGTGGTTCTTGTGGTAGATTAAGTGTAAGATTGTAATCTGTAAAACATTTGATCTAGTGGAACCCAGCTGGAATTTGGCTCGAGACTGGACGTAGCCCTGGTATTGGGTGAACTAGTATAAACACCTAGTGATATCTTTCTAAACCTTTCTCCTCTTTTAATTCTCGTTGTTGCGTTTATTGTTGATTGTTTGCTTTGTGATTCAAGAACAGATCCGAAATCTTATTTTTACAAATAGATAATCTGTTAATTGCGAAAATCTTTCAAAGATCAATTCACCCCTCTTGATCTCAAACTTACTTTTCTAACAATAATATAATATACTATTAACCATATTTTTAATTAGAAATTAATTTTAAGTTTTATCATATTTATTTGAAAAAAATCGTTAAAAAAATTCAAAATAATTAATTAAAGTAAAAAATTTAATAAATGTGTTGATATTATTAGTCATTGAAGATTTAAATTTATAATAATAGTTATATAAAATTATAGAATTAATAAAATTTAAATTATTCATAATTTTTTTAATTAAATATAAATAATTTCAAATGAAAACATAAGATTTAATTATTAAGCTAAAATTCGATAATAATAATAAATGAAAAAATAAAAAAATAAATGTATATATATCATTTATTATTTTAATTAAAATTAATTTCATGAAAAAATTAATATTAGAAAATATGAAAAAAATAATAAAAAAAGATTTAAAAGATAAAACAATTTTTTTTAATATTTTACTTTTTTTTAAAAATTAAAATATAAAAATAGTTTCTTTTACTTTTTCAGACTAATAAATAATAAATAATAAATAATATATAATTGAAAAAAAAAACTTCAAAAACCTTTTCGACCACACTGCCACCAACACTAGACACACCTTCAAAAACCCAACCCATTATTTCATTTTCCTCCCCAACCAAAACCCTAAACCGCGCCATGCTCTCTTTCTCCTCCTCCTACACCTTCGATTCCTTCTCCAAATCCCAACAACTATCCTCTGTCATACAATCTGCGAACAATCCTTCCTAAATCGCATCTACGTGCACCTCCATCGACTCCTTCCAGCACTCTCACTCACCCGACCAATCCCGCCACTTCTTCTCCCTCGCCTTCCCTACCCATTCCAAGCTCTTCGGCTTGGACAACCCCGCCTTTGCCAATGCTTAGATCCACCATCGCCACTTCGACGACCTCGCTCAAACCCTTTTCTCCCTCCTCTCCCCCGCCGGCACCCTCGTCGCTGCCATCGTCGCCATCGACCACCTCTCCCTCGTCAAATGCGTCTTCCCCGCCGAACACCTCCCTCACTGGACTCGCTCCCTCCTCCTCAACGAAAATAACATTGTTGATTCTTGCCCCCTCTCCGATCTCTGCCCCTCCCTTTTCAAGCCCTCCCCTTCTCCCTCCCAAATCTAGCTCAACGTCTTCGAATACTTCTTCTTCTGGTTCGCCTACTACCCCTTCTCCCATTAATAGCTTTTAAAACGAATTTAGGAATCTTCCTGACTCCCCTTTAGTTGAGGTTTACTTTACTTTTGTTTTTCTTCTTTATTTTGAGGAAAAATGTGGGGTCATTCTGATGCAGCTGAGGCCATACTTCTTGTTTTTTCAGGTTCTTAAGTCCACTTTCATCAGTTCCTCTAGTATCTCTTGTTGGTTTTGGACTGTATGAATTAGGGTTCCCTGGGGCAAGTCTTCTACTACAAATTTACAATGCTCTATGGATAACATTTTTGTTATAGATGTCGCACTGATCGTGCTGGACTTATAGATGCTGCTCCTTGGTTAGTTGTGTGATTTCATTGAATTTTAGTGTGTCAGGGATGGATTTTTTTCGCCACCTTCTAATCCACTTTGGTAAAATGGACTCAACATTAAATTATTGGTAACTGATAGTGATACGTCCCAATTAAAAATTTTACTGATTTAAAGCTTGGTAAAATTATATTTTGCATGTTCATTATAAAATGAGGCTAAATTATATTCAATATTTAATAGTTTCTCCATTTTCAGATATATTTTTGCTATTTCAATTTTAGTTTATTATTTTGACTAGGTGAGGAGATGTCTTTTAGATGATACGCTGAACTGCATATATTGCATATCATTCTTACTTAATTCTTTTTTAATATTTATGACTATTTCGAATCTTAAAGCATAAGCATATTGATATTTCTCAAGTCAGATTCAATTGGATCCTTGAGACATTGTATTTTTTAATTGGTAATTGGTAGGAATCTGCTAGATACAAAATTACTTTTACTTGAACATTTAAGTATTTGTGGAAAAAATTGCACACTTATAAATAATAGGGTAAAAGATCATTAGTGATTATAATGATTTTTTCACCAAGCAATTAAGTAGAACACTGGATTATAATTCCTCATGTATCTCATTTATGCGGTCAGGGAGTTGGCATTCTGTTATCAGGATTGTTTGGAACAGTCAATGGATCCTCTGTGTCCGTGTAAGATTGAAATTTTGCTTTTTATGTACTTTTACCTTATTAGGAAACATAACTTTCTTGTTGGTGATGAGGTTTTGTTGGTTTCCCTACAGAGAAAATATAGGTGTTTTGACTTTTCATTATTTGTCCAGCTTATGAGAGAGGAGATTGAACAATTAAAACACAAGTTACAGGAAGTTGAGACTGAAAGGGATGATCTCAATGAAAGAATTTTAACTAATGAGAGACAAATTCAGAAAAATGATAAAATGTTTCTCCTCTTGATGGAGAAGATGGATGTTCAACCTCCTGAATTGTGAACTGATACTTCTATTATATATATTGTATTTGTTTTGTTAGTTTCTGACATCTCCATAATTGACTTTTACTTTAGTTTATTCTACTTATTTTTAGATTGAATTTTCAATATGTAAACAAATATTTAATCTATCAATGATGAATTTATTTAGAACAAAATTTGTGGTATTATTTTGACGGTTATCTCACGTAGTGTATAATTGACATATTTAATACAACATATAATGTATGTCATATTATTTAATTAGGTTTATCGTTATTTTAAAAAAAATTAATAAAATTAGTTACCGATATAGTGATTGATTAAGTTATTCACAAAATCGGTCACTGATTCAGTCATAATATCGGTCACTAATTGGTCACTGATTCAGTCACTAATTCGATCACTGAATTAGTCATTGATTCGGTCACTAAAATAGTGACCAAGGAAATAGTGACTGATTCTAGTTGGTCATTATTTCGGTCACTATTTAAATTAGTGACCAATTTTGGTAATTTAGTGACCGAAAATTCGGTCACTATTTGGTGTTTTTCTTGTATGCTGTGTTTGTTTGAACTGATTTGCGACGAAATACTGTTCACGAAGACAGAAGCACGAGATTCACCCACATTTGGTTGAACAGATTTGCGAAGAAATGCAGGCGAGGAAAAGGGGGAGAGGGGAGAGAGACTTTCTTCGCTAATCTGCGAAGAAAAGAGACGAAAGTCTGCTGGAGATAATGAAATGTCCAACTTACCCTCTTCCATATGATAGCGGTTAAATCTTAACCGCTATTATAATAACACTTGTAATAGCGGTTAAAACTTAACCGCTATTATATATCACTTCTAATAGCGGTTAAAACATAACCGCTATTATATATCACTTCTAATAGCGGTTAAATCTTAACCGCTATTACATATCACTTTAGATAGCGGTTACAGAGGAACCGCTATTATATCCTCCAATTATGATCGATCATTTCTTAAATCTAATCGATCAGAATCATATTTCGCTCGAGCGAGATATAGTCGCTCAAGCGAAACACAACCCGAGACTGAAGAAAATTAAAATATGGTTGTATATGATAGCGGTTCCATCGGAACCGCTATCTAATATACACTTTAGATAGCGGTTCCGGAGGAACCGCTATTATATCCTCCAATTATGATCGATCATTTCAAATTATGATCGATCAGGATCGCATTTCGCTCGAGCGAGATATAGTCGCTCGAGCTAAATGCAACCCGAGATCGAATCTTAAAATATTTTTTTGAATATTATGTTTTTGAATTTGCTATTAGAGAAAACCTTTCGTAATTCAAAATGTTAAATACTTTTAAATATTAAAATTAACTTTATCAAAAATTAGGAAAACAAAATTTATCCAAAAGAGTTCAAAAATGTATAAGAGTATTCTCAATTTTGAGTTTAATTATATTGTTCATTCTCAAAGTAGAAATTTATATTGTAGTTATTTAATTTACATTTTGTGATCTTCTTAAAATTAGCATCAATAACATTAGACTTTACATTTGATTCATACCTAACTAATTATAGATTAAAAGGAAAGTGGTATAACCATGCATTTTACTTTTCTATTTACCTTATTCTTTTAATTATTTTATATAATAATAATCAAAATATTCACATGAATATGGGCATTTTCGAAAATAATATTATTGTATTATTGTTAAAATTAGCATCAATAACATTACACTTGATCTTCTTAATTATATTGTTCATTCTCAAAGTAGAAAATTATATTGTAATTATCTTCAATTTATTAAAAGTGTAATTAAATCTCTATTTTCTTAATTTTTTTTTGTTTCAAACTTCTCAATTCTACATTTTTGTAACTTCTATCATTATATTATCATCCTCATCTCCTCTCATGTTCTACTTTATCTTTACAATAGTTAATATTCTTAAATAATCTATATTTTTAATTATAGGTTTTTAATATATATTTCAGAAATTAATCAATTCTAAGTTATTATTTGAAAAACTAATCAATTCTAATCAATAATTTAGAAAAATAATCGATTAGAATTAATTATTTGAAAAAATTATGAAATATGATCGATCATTTCGAAAATCTAATCGATCAGAATCATATTTCGCTCGAGCGAGATATAGTCGCTCAAGCTAAACACAACCCGAGACTCAAGAAATTAAAATATGGTTGTATATGATAGCGGTTCCACTCGGAACCACTATCTAATATACACTTTAGATAGCGATTACAGAGGAACCGCTATTATATCCTCCAATTATGATCGATCATTTCAAATTATGATCGATCAGGATCGTTTTTCGCTCGAGCGAGATATAGTCGCTCGAGCGAAATGCAACCCGAGATCGAATCTTAAAATATTTGTTTGAATATTATGTTTTTTAATTTGCTATTAGAGAAAACCTTTCGGAATTCAAAATGTTAAATAATTTTAAATATTAAAATTAACTTTATCAAAAATTAGGGAAACAAAATTTATCCAAAAGAGTTCAAAATGTATAAGAGTATTCTCAATTTTGAGTTTAATTATATTATTAATTCTTAAAGTAGAAAATTATATTGTAATTATTTTATCTCAAGTTAATGTGATGAGACGATCATCAACATTTCAACATTCGGAGTCAAATATATGGGACATCTTCGTTTCTCCCAGGTTGGTCATGTTCTTGAGTGGAAGTGATTGAATGATCTGAACCTGGAGGACTTGATCGCAAAAGATGAATAACATTATAATTATTTGTTTGAAGAGCATTAGTGTGCATAAGTTTATAATTTTAGTAATGTTTCATTTAATTATTATTCTATTTTCATTGTATTTTATATTTGTTTTAAATAATAATGTACAATTATATTATTAGTTTTCATAATTATTTGTTATTATCAGATCAATATTAATTATTATTTTATATTTTATAATTATTTAATTATTAGTCAAATAATTTATTTAATATGTCAACATTATTTGAATATGGATATGCAATGTACATAATTTTGTAATTGTTTATTTATATAATTTTTAATAACTATCTAAAAAAAGTTAATTTTTTAAATTTGTTTCCAATTACAAACACTTTTAATTTTGTTTTTTCTTTTAAATATATAATCAATGTTAAAATATGGATAATTAATTAAAAATTTATATTTATAATCATTTGAACCTTATTTTATTCAAAGGGTAAAATGGTAATTTTCTTAAATAATCAACATAAAATTATAATTTTTATATCTTATATTAATCAAATCATTCATAATTTCCCATAAATTTTTCTTTCACTTTTCAATCATCTCCATTTCTCTTCAAATCCCTCCTTTTCCACTCTCTCAAATCACTCTAACCAAACAAAGCCAGTAGTGGTGGAAAAATGTTATAATATTACTCAAAACTACTTGAAAGAGTGCATTGAAATTTTTTTATGAAAAAAATCTCCAACAAAAAAAAATTGTAGAAATATCTAACTAGAGTAATTACGAAAACTAAATTCCTAAAAAATAAGAATATTATTCAAAACAAATAGAAAAATAAATAAATGAGTTTGAAACACCACAGTGAAATTTTTTTACTAAAATAATTTCTCGGAGAAACTCCTAGAAAAAAATAAGCTTTGACAGAATGGAGTGGAATTCCATAAAAGAAAATTCCCGACACAAAAATTATACAAATTTTTTACCTAGTATAATTGCGAAAACTAAAACCCTAAAATGTAAAAACA